CCCGTGGTGCTGCCAGGTGGCCTCGGTCACGTGGGTTCGTGACGTAAGGGGTAAAAGAATCTTGAGGTCATGGGGCTTCCCCTGACCTGGATTCTATCTCTCCGTCACCGTCAGAATCGCTGATTAATGCCTACAGTTCAAAATAGTCATTTTGACTGACCGGAGTCTATGGTGGGTAATTGAACGTAGTGAATTTGATTGGTTTAGGCATGCCAAGGATGCATTATTTATAAAAAAAAACATAGCCACCAGTTTAAATTAAAGTTGAAAAATTAAAATGAAGTAGTCAAATTATGTTCAATGTACATGTATTGGTATATACCAAGTTTGAAAAAAAATGTGTCCATGCACGCCTAACATTTGGTTTCGAACAGTTGAACACTTTTTGATATATATGTCAAATATGATGTATGATATATGTGTGAAGTTTAAGTGGCATAACTGCATTATTAAAACAAAATGGCCGCCAGACAGCCATTCCAAAATTGATCTAAAATCTGTTATTTTGAAGCAGATCATAAAACAAATACATTTATCCAATATGATGCATAATGTATGTGTAAAGTTTTAAATTGATTAGTCTAAGCATGTTAAATTTATATCCGAAACTGCATTTTTTAAAACAAAATGGTGACTAGTTGGCCATTTTGAACTGGATTTGAAATATAAAATAATGTGAATCAAGATCTCATTGTGTTCAATGTATGTACCAAGTGCAAAGCAAAGTCTGTCCTCACAATCAAGTTTCGGTTCCAGATTTTAAATATGTTTGATATTTAGCATTAAAAAGGCTGTCATTTGGTCATTTTCAATCAGATCATTTAACATATGCATGTCAAGTACAATGTATGATATATGTTTGAGGTTTGAACTTGAACAGTCCAATCATGTGTAAGATATGTCTGGAGATACACATACACACACACACACGCACACAAAAAAAGGTCAATCCATAAGTCCCTGTTTACGGAGTTCATCTGAATGGGGACTAATAATCTAATAATCGATTATAACTAATTTAAGGAAGTTTGTTGGGTGGTCACTGTACACAGGTAAGACTGTATCAACATTTATTAATAGTTTAACTAAAACATGTAAAAATACACTAGATTAACTTGGCCTCTGACCTTTTCCCGTTTTTCTCTTTGCCATAGATAATAAAGCATATAGATCAGATAACGCAGACAGGATGTATACTAGAGGATCTTTTTTACTTCGACCACAGAGTATTTTGATGACATCCAATAGCACAGAGGTTGTAAATGTCTGAGTGCATTGTAATGATTTATCCTATATGAGAACAGGTATAAAGATTAGAGCAATGAGTTCATTAAAGTTGTTAAGGAAATGAACCATTTTCCGCACACTGTGGGATCCTGTGTTATGCATGAAATCAAATGTAAAACAGGTCAAACACAAGTCATTGTGTTGGAATGACACAAAACATCACATGTGATTTGACAAATATAAAAATATTTAGCGCTTACAATGTTCTATACTGCTAAAATTCCAAATCAAGCTGTTTGATTTCAGTCCACGTCTTTCACATGTTATGCAAGATCTCAAATGGAGAATCGCTTATATCCAGGATCATAGCACCATGGACCCTTTTTTTCCAATTGAATATTTTCCCATTTTGCAAGTCTTGTGTGATGAGATGTATCACTTGATCTCATTTGCATACACAGCCTATACAGCTTAGCAAATAAGATGTGCAAGATGTATCACATGATCTCATTTGCATACACAGCTTGTATAGCTAAGCCAATGAGATGCGCAAGATGTATCACATGATCTCATTTGCATACAGTCTGTATAGCTCTGGTAATAAGATGTGCAAGATGAATTATATGATCTTATTTGCATACCTAGTGTGTAAATTCAAGCCAATGAGATATATATGATCTATCATGTGATCTCATTTGCATACACAACCTGCAAAGCTAAACCAATAAGATGTGCTGGATTTATCATGTGATTTAAAATTTGCATACAAAATCACAACATGTTACCTGATTAATTCTTATCATTGCATTGTGGACAGCTTCTTCAGTGCTGCTGTAATTCTTGTTTTTTGAAAGCACATCAGAAACTTGTAAAATGTCCTTCAAAAAATTAAGCGTTAGAGGAAGAAATCAGGAATTCGGTAAAGTTATAAAACAACTTCAAATTTATCGAAGTACAATTACAGAATAATCGCGTAATAAAAAAAAAGCCATTCTGAGTTACATTGAAAATTTCAGTGCCTTTACGTATGACATGACACAGTCCCTGTCTGTTTTCAGTGTAAGTTCACATAGAAGATCAGCAAGGGGTATTTTTGTAAGCTGTAATCAATTGTTTATTTTACGTAATAATGTTTTATTTAAATAAATAAAAAACGTAAATTCGTAGACATGGGCAAGGTGTAAAATGTAATCAGCTATTTTATTCGTCCGTAATTTGTACAACGATATTTTTGTTTGTAAGTGTATAAAACATTTTGCAAATAAAATTCATACACAATCTCCAATTTTGATTCTTAAACACAAATTATCAAATATATTATATAAATATAGAATGTAATTAGGAATTTGCTTTTTCTGTGAAGTGTAAAAACCTATTTTTACTGTAAAAGAAACTTTCATTTCTTTTCCTGCAAAAACGTAAAATGCTGTTTTTATTTTCTGTAACCTGTACCAGCTATCCCCCCTTGAGACCCCTCCATATAGTAGTCGCATGTATACCGGTATATATTTTCTTAATAAAAAGTGATATTTTAATTCCCTGTTTTTAAACTTCACCCGATGAATTTAGGTACTCCAAATTCATGTACTTGTTTTCTGAGCTAAGACAGAAAACTGTTAATTATTTTATTATAGCCAAAATAATTTTCGCTAAAAAGACATTTTGGCTGTCTTGTACAAAATTTATTGTTTCTGATTTTTGATGAATTGAATGTAAAATATAGAAAAAAAGGTATTTTCCCTGGTTTTCATTTTAATTAATTCATCCCTTCAGACAAAATAAAGTTGTTTACATTATATATAATTGTATTTTCAATTACAGGGCAGAATCTTAAGATTTTACCAATAGATTTTCTCACCCAAATTTTTCTGGACTTTTTTTATATTTTTCAATATTTCTTGAAATAAACCCAAATTTTGGAACCAATAAACAAAATGTGAGTCAATTTTCAGTTTTTACTCAAAAAAATTGGCTAATTTTGTCTCCTAAAAAGTGCAGACTAAAAATGAGACTATTTTGTGATGAAAAGATGGAACTGATGGTGAAAAAGGTAAGTGAGTAAGTATCACAAAGTCAAATTATGTTCACCATAATAATAAACAGAGTACTGTGAAATACTTTATTTTAACTGGAATTAATTTTCACCGAAAAAGGCTTTTTGCGTGTTTTGTATGGAATTTATTTTCACTGATTTTTAGTGAGTTTGAATGTAAAATATAGGAAAAAAGGTATATTTGCTGGATTTGATTTTCACTCAATCATTACTTCAGCGAAAACAGCGAAAATTAATTCCCAGCAAAAATAAAGTATTTTACAGTATGTCATATAATCACAGCGACTCCTCGAACACTCAACAAGGAATTCTGGATAGCTATGGTTTATTGAAATAAAACAGTTTGTGACACAGTATGTAAAATCAAATCACATGACAAATTATATTGAAAATCTCACCTGCATTGTTTGTACTGGTAGATCAAAATGCGAGCCATTGTATAACCTAATAACATATGCATAAATAAAACTAACAGAGTTAAGAAAACACCATGTAATAGTAAAATTGTTTGGCCATGCATACTCTGATCTCAAACTACATCCAAACTGAATACTGTAAAATACTTAAATTATTTTAGTTGGAATTAATTTTCACTGAATAGACTTTTGGGGTGTTTTGTACGGAATATATTTTTACTGATTTTTGACGAGTTGAATGTAAAATATAGAAAAAAAAAGTATATTCACTGGATTTTATTTACACTGAATCATTCTTTCAGCGAAAATAGTGAAAAGTAATTCCAAGCGAAAATAAAGTATTCCACAGTACATCAAGGTAGTCAGCTGCCATTAAAATAAATGATCAGATTTCCTTGTATTTTGCATTAAACGAATCCCTTGTGTTGCCTAGATAGGGTTGGGAGAATTAGAAATGGTGATGTCCACAAATTTGATAAAAAAGCACAAAATGACGTGTGACTGTTGTCTGCAATGAACCAAGATTTAAGAAAGAATTATAAAACTGCCCCAGCTGAGCCAGTCTAATCTTATCGTAACAACAAAAAAATACATTGACATTTGACCTAAATTCGTACAATTTCCAGCTGGAAGGAAGTTCAAATAATTGAGCTTCATAATTTTGAAAAATTTAGTTTTGTTTTCATTTATTTCATAAAATGTACTTCAAATAAAACTTATTTGTAAATAGTTGTCAAGATCGCATTGTAAGTGATTAATGTCCAATTTCATGAGGCATTAGTGTTGAAATAACAACCAAGTTGCCCCACGATAGTAACTAAACAGTCCAGTATGGTTCTGGAATGAAAGATGCAGTGACATCAACCCTCAAGGTCCTAGTCATGATTTTCTTTGTTTGTTTGGTTGTGGCCAGAAAAATAAATATTTATTTTGTGTATTTCTTTCAAAGAATTCTTCAAAACTTATACATTATGCCATACAATCAGGGTATTTTCTTCTCCTTTAAAAGAAAATTGTTATAATTGTTATGTGCATATTAATTAGCTAGTTAATATGCATGAATAATACATGCAGCACATTTCAATAAAGGATACAGTACTTCTAAGAGGTTGAATTGCACAGAATCAGCAGGTTTTTGACTTTTCAATAAATCTGTTAATTTAGGTATTTTATCAACTATATTTGGTATTTCGTGTTCAGAAGTTGAAGCATCATTTTGTAGTGAGTCAGCGTTGTTTTCTAATTTCAATTCTTCTATTAAATGTTTATCCTGTTGGAAATGATCAGAAAAGAAAATTTACAAATGTTAGTGTTGAGGAAGCACATCCACATTTTGTTGCTGATACAGTTACTGATAAGTTCCAGCCATCCTTAATTAATATCTGCTACCCACTGCAAAAAAGATACAGTGATATTTAAATTAGCTAAGAACAGGAAATCACACAAAGACATCAGTTTATGTTCATTTCAACTGGATGCCCAATTCGTAGCCCTGGATAACGCAAGCTTCACAGTATGGACTCCAGCATCAGAGGTGATTGCAAATTTGAATCTCAAGGATGGCTTCACACTCAGTATAGAAAATTGTTTATCCTAGCTTGAAGCATTTGAAGGTTGAGCAGTATGGTATACAGTCAGACAGGAAACTGAAAAATATGCAATTTTAATTTTTTCTTGTATTGGGATTATTAATCAAATCCATAATGTATAAGTTCAACATTAAATAATGCCCTCCAATAGATGCATTGAAGGTCTGAAACAGAAAAAACAAGCCATGCATGGCACAGTTCCTGTTAGTTATCAAATTCAAGATATATAGTTTTGTTTATAGTAATATAGCTGGAATATAACCATGTCAGGAATATGATTATGATGATTGTTTAACATTACAATAATTGACATTTGTATCTGATCGTCAAATAAGTACTTGTCCACATTGAGAGATATGGCTCTGGAACAGCATCAATTAAAACAAGTCATTGTAAATGACACAGTTCCCGTCCAAAATTTTGTGATCTGACATATCAATATGATGCTGATGAACTCATTGAGATTAGATTGAAACCATTATTAGGAGATAGATTTGTAAAAAATTATGATTTAGTGCTTTTACACGAGAATTAGACATTGGGTAGTCATATTGAATCAAATTACAAAAATAATGTTCATGTTGATGTATCTATTGGTATACTGTCTTTTTGTACAAAATTTAAACCGAAATGTTCATTGCATTCATGGGAAAGTAGGCATGGCTATCATGAAAAACAAAATGGCCACCAGTCAGCCATATTAGTTTGAATTACAGAAAATCGGCCCAGTCATTGCTGAGAAACAGCTCCAGACATGTAAAAATGACGATTTAGCGCTTTTACATGAAAATTGGGCCATATTGAAATGAATCACAAAAATCATGTTGGTGCAGATGTATCTTATGGTATATAATCTTTGTATAAGATTTAAACAGAAACGTTCATTGCATTCAAGATAAAGTAGCATGGGTACCATAACAAACAAGATGGCTGCCAGTCAGCCATATTTGTTCGAATCACGAAAAAAAAATGACGTGCGCCTACAACCCAATATGTATGATCATCATTCCAACTTTGATTCAAATCGGCCCAGTCATCTCCGAGAAACTGCTGCAGACATGTTTTGGTATCAGAAATAGCAAATTTTACATCCAAATTTGGCCGCCAGTCGGCCTTTTTTTCTCCGATCATAAAGTAACTTGACGCGTATATGTAAGACATTATGTATTGTCTTCATGTAAAGTTTGAATGAAATCTGTCAATGGGTGTCCAAGATATAGCCCCAGACGTATGTACGTACGGATGGGCGGACGGAACAAACCCAAATTAATAGTCAGAACGGGGACTAACAAAATCAGCAATTTTGAATACATGTATACATCTACATGTATAACATGATGTATGATGAATATATCAAATTTGAACATAATCAGTCAAAGCATGTCAGTGATTCTAGAAGGCCATTCATTAAAACAAAATGGCCGCCAGTCAGCAATTTAGAATCCAATCTGAAAAATAAAATGACGTGCATCAGGAACCCATAATGTCTAATGTATGTTATAAGATGGAATGAAATCCATCTATAAATGTCAGAAATGCTTCATATTTGATGATTTTTTAAGCACAAAAATGACCACCATTCGGCCATTTTTAATAGGATCGTCAAACCTATATATCTGTATATTTATGACATGATGTATAATGAATATTTAAAATTTGAACATAATCAGTCACAGCAAGTCAGAGATATGGCACGAGAACCACTGATTGGCGACCATTTTGAATTTTGAATCTTATCTGAAAAACAAAATAATTGGCATCAAGGTCCCATAGCGTATAATGTATATACCAAGTTTGAACAAAATCCATCTGTAAACAGCCAAGAAATGCTTGATTTTGATGATTTTTCAGTACAAAAATGGCCATCAAATTGTCATCACCATCTTGAATCAGATCGTGAAACAAATTGATGTGCATATGTATAATATTATGTATAATGTATGTGTGAAGTTTGATTGTGATTGATCCGGGCACATACGGACACACAGATGCACAAGGGTTAAAACATAAGTCCATGTTTCCGGACTGGGTCTGAACGGGGACTAAAAACATTTTTCCATTCTACCATAAGTGGTGCACTTAACTGAAAAAATGTAAAGTACAGGTCTCTGACACACACGTACATACCGAGAAGAGTATTTTGATGTAGGGTGGAGGATAAGATGACCAGTGAAATAATAAAATAAAAAAGTAAAATAGATTGAAAGAATCTACCATTTACGCTCACCTGAGCATTCCACCATGGTGTCCATACATCAACGATACCTTCTACTCCGCCATCTTTTATCAATGTTTCAAATTCCTTCTTTTCTACTTCAGTTAGCCTTTCCCATAATGCATCAGTGTCCTTATCTGTCAAATAGGATTGAAAAAGATAAATAATAAACAATTTTTAAGGTAATGTGAGCAGAGTTTAGTCCACGTCTAAATGGATATAAATACCTAGATC